ACTATCAGCGTTGCTTGCAATTTCAACATCCTCTTAGTAGAGTGGCTTTCGCTTGTGACAAAGTCTTTTTTCTTGTTACCAAGCAAGTTTTTCATTGCTCGCAGGGATCTGTCATATCCTTTACACTAGCATTATGAACTGCAATGTTTACCGAAATATTACCCGTACAAAGCCTACTCCGCAAATGGACATAGATCAGATTTGTATGTTGGAGTAAGGCTAAAATCTGCAGGAAACAAGCTGCAGTCTGAGCCGTAATGATTACGTGGGGTTCAACAGTGTTAGTAAGAGCAGCCTTCTTATGTAATGCGAAAACACTACCATAAAACCCGTTTGGTGTTTACTGAGATGAGGGAAACTTGATTATAATATCTGACTTGGTTCCGCGCTGCTGTGAACAGGCTCTGTTGATTTAGAAGCAGTGGCATTCATTTGGAAATTAAATGTCAGCTCTCTTGCTCACTGATTTCTGTTCTGTCGATTTGATGTTCATGCATACAACTTATATTCTTTTAACTACAGATTCCGAGACTCTCGCACTAGAACACACATTCCTTATCGAGAGGATAAAAACTTGACGGGTACAGCTCGATACGCTTCCATCAATGCTCACCTCGGTATAGAGCAAAGCAGAAGGTCTGTGATTATTTTTGCATTACAGGAATTGTATCTTTTGTTAAACAAAGTATATTTGGAGTCCGTATTTACAGGGATGATATGGAGTCCCTCGGTTACGTGTTGATGTACTTCAATCGCGGCACGCTTCCTTGGCAAGGCTTGAAAGCAGCTACCAAAAAGCAGAAATATGAAAAAATTAGCGAAAAGGTGAGTTAAGTTTTTTGAAGCTTTATTGAAGAAGACAGAGATCCCACAGTAAAAAATCAACATAACAAAATTCCATGTTGCTTCTTTCCTCAAATTTGCGGTCCAGTTATGCTCTCGATGTTCTTTTAGCATGTTCAAATATAGCGAGTTTATCGATTGCAGTAGTAGTCGCTCTTTTCGTTTTTTGTCTTTTTTT